TAACAGTCGCGCTATGTCGTGAATTGACAGAAGTTGGAAATTGTGAACCACTGGAAACCAACCCAGTGGCTGAATGGTTAACGCGTTCGCCGTGGAACCTGAAGGTCTTGAGTTCGACCCTAGCCGGGTTGTGGGTGCGTACTGCTGAAGAGTCCCACACTAGGACGAAACAGCTGCCCAGTGCTCCCAGGTTTTCAATGGTTCCCCAACTGATGTCAGTCTGTGATGAATACTACTTCTAAATTAAAAATCCCCATTCATCTCAAAAATCGATCATAATTTACACTAGGGCTTTAGAATCTATTTTTATAAATCAGGTGGTAGATGTTTTATCAGTCAAACTACTTAGTATTGGCTTAAATATCAAAATACAGTGTAAACAGGTGAATTCAGTAAATCGTGAACATCACTGGCAAAGCTTATGAAAAGTGAATAATCCTTTAGTGTTGTCAGTTTTTTAACCAGTGGGATTAGTGAACGGTAATCACATGATTTGTAGACAGCTACTTCGGAAAGTGCTTTTCAGCGTTGTTAAGTTGGTAGGCTGGATTTCTTGTCCGGTGATTTATTTTGGCTGTATTGGATATGGTAAAAGTAAGCGCTTTACATCAGTGTTATTGTAGGTATGTATGAGTGTGATTGGTTGTTCGAGCATATAAACTTAGATGTAAGTACTGGATTTTGATCGCATTACTATTGAAAGCTAAGTATTACTTATATCATTGAAAAGTTTGTTCATTATGGAATGAATTAATGTGTTATCAGTAAATTCTTTAATGCAAAGTTTACGCACTATGATAAGTTATTATTTTACTTATAAGTATTCCTGTATGGGCACTGAAAAGGGTGAATGAATTTAAATTTGTATCTTAAGTGAACCCAATGGATTCATTAGTTTTAATATTGTCACATCAAAAAAATCACTCAGGGTTGTGATACTAATGATATTAACAGGGACATTTGGGATCCATTTCAACAAAATACTTCTTAGTCATGAGATCTGCCCGTTTGCATAAAGAACATTCGACTGAGCTCCTAAAACTAACCAATTCTTTTTAACAAGTGTTTGCACTGTAATGGATTCAGAACTACTGAATGTTACTACAATTACCATATAACACTATAGTTATGCTATTTGTAGGAAAATAACTTTTGAATAACTTGTGAGTTGGTATAGATGTCATAGAAAGGGCTTTTCTCGTGTACATCTACAGCTACTTTTTCTGCTTGATTTCTAGTTATAAACTTTGAAGATGAACTCAATAAACTAGCAGCAACGATGTTAGTGACTGCAACAGCAAATGACGTAAATTTGAAATCTAGGGGGTTTCAGTAGCCTTTGATAAGCTGGTTGCAAATATGCTTTGTCAATGAGTGCTACTGATCTCAAATAAAACTCTAATAAAACAGTGCTGTTGACTACTTCTGAACATCCAGAACTACATTGATGTTGAGTAGAACTTGAGACTTTCTGAAACTCAACATTTCGTTGCGTTCATTCTGTTCATAAATCACAGTTTGTTTATGCTTCATGAATAAGAGTTGCTAACGTTTATGCATAATTCTCGAAGCAGTTGAAAGACTGGGTACTGCCTTAGGTTTCCCAGTAGTCTATAAGTCGCAATTCTTCAAATCACTAAGAATGGAGATGGTACAATATTGTTGATATCTTCAGTTAAACTGGATGACCGCAAGGTTCAACAGAACTCTGCTTAAAGCCAGTCGCGGCTTGCTACTGTGCAAATATTTGATTTGCACTCTATGTGGTCAGTTACATGAATTAGAATTTTACTGACTGGTCAGGAAATGCATATTACTATTGCTTTTGTCAATTAAAGGAGGTATCACCAAATTTCCTGGTTATCCGTCGGAAACAATTTTGCTCAGTTACACTTCTCCATTGTCTGTAGTAAACTCAAGTTCCATAGTCAGTTAATATCTCGGATTATGAAACAATTTAAAATCCAACCCTCATGATTGTACAGGTAGTAATTATTACTAATATGGTTCATCACAGGTATTTTTTTACTGAACACCTGAACACAATACTTTGCACCGCTCAGTAATCAACAGGAGAACTCTTTTGTCAATTGTGTGCATTCCCTCAGTTGAGACTCATATTTTACAACCTTTGAGTTTTCGATATTCAAAGTTATGAACTGAACATTTCCACTTATCGTTTTCATTTTGCGTTCAGTGGTTGCATAAACATCTGGTGCATTAAGACAGTGAAGTCTGACAGCTGGAAATTGAACATCTTGGTATAAGTTGCTTTCCAGAGACGGGTTAATGGATTTGTTCCAGTCCTGTAGAACACCAATCACACCTACAATACCTTAGGAGTTGCCTGTATGACATTTATGGGCCCCAGTCTTTGGCTACTAAAAGTTTTGGAATACTGTCTTAGTAAATTAGTAATGTTGAACATTTACTAAATCTGCTTTTAAATATTCACTAATTCTCGTTACTACTAATTTGAGAAATGAAGACAGATGTTACCTGATCCGTTGCCTATCGGTCTCGACCCAGAGGTGGGAATAAATCAACCTTTCCATTATAAGGCTGAGAGTTGTTGTTTTATTTATAGTGGGGTACAGTGCTTCCACTATAGACTATTATTAGTGTTTGTATGTGAGCCATGACTGATGTAATAAAATTATGTGAAGGGAATACCGAAACAGGAACCAGCTAAACATTTAGCGGAACATGGTCATGTCATGCATTTTGAGATAACCTGATATCATCCACGGTCTACTGTAAAAGCATCAGTAAGTGCCGTAAGTGATCTCAAGGTGTAAAATTAAAATTTTCAGTCTCATTTAAACCAATAAATGTAGGGAAATAAAGCTCGATCGGCTGTAAACGATATGCGGGGCTGTAGCACACTACATTTAGAATTTCAGTGGGTTTGCAGAGTATCCTATATCACGGTGAGCTGTGAAAGAAAGAATGTAGCAGTCATAAGTAGTTGCAGATAACTTGTAATGTGCACCAACTTCTACAGGCAGACAGACTGATTGACTGAAATAGGTGCAATAAGCTTCGTATAACGAGTAACAGTTCGTGTTTTAAAGAAGTATGTTCCTCAATATTGCTAGTATATATTTATATGTAGTTGCCCAGATATCATGCATTAATTATCTTTTCTTAGGTTCATAAGTAATATCAAAAATGAAATCATTACAAATATATTTATAATAAGCTATGAATAAGAATTTTTCGGAAGTGTTTCCTTTACTTCTACAACTGATATAATCCACTCTACTTCTAGATACAGTGAAATAAATTGTCCATTGTAGTGCACTTTAAAGAATAATTAAGTAATCTAGTCACCATAACACCATAAAAAACTGGTTTAACTGTTTTCATCAAAATGGATACTGAAGGCTCCTATGATCTAGTTCAAAAACACAATCACAAGCGAACAATAAGCCTGATAGAATGACGAAATTATGTAGAGAATAATATATGAGAAGGAAGATGTGTATAAGATTCATAGTAAAATGAAGAGTGGACAAATTTTCTCTCTTTCATCGTCATTTCTGAGCCGTATCAAATGAGATATTGTGCCATCGGTTGATACTGGGTTGTAGACTTTAGCTAGAAAACCTACACTTCCCTACATACACCGATTGAGAGTCACTAGACCCATTCATTGGTACGACGTTGTGTTCTGGCCACCCTTGAATGTTCTTCACCGCACTCATGCCCCAAACAATGTCTTGTTCTGAGTCAAACTAAAGCTAAGGATGAAATTCAATTAAGGTTATTTTCGTGACACAAGAAGATTCTTTGATTTAACCTTACTTAAGATACCTTGGTTAGCGCAAAACAAACTGATTCCAAATGGATTTCCACAGTACAACTTAATCATAACTTCCTCTTTGAAATGAGACAGATTATGCACAGTTTGGTAGTCCTATGAATCTCACAAACTTCACAAAAGTTCCTAGTGTTTTCTAGACAGAGCTGTAATAGGCAATATGACATTATACTATGGCGAACTAATTTTTGGTAGTGGATGTTTCTAGTGAATCAGCTAGGAGTCATTGGCTACCCACTGATGACTGACTCCTGGATATGATAGAACCATACAAAGTAGGTTAGTCATGGAGTGAATAAATTAATATTATAATCTGACTTCTGTGTAGTGAGACACAGGCTCAATTTTTATACTGAATACCAGTTTCCTCAGGTTTGCAGTTGTAACTTGCTAACAGGCATGATACCTAGATCCAGGACTTACTTCAAGTTCATTCTCAACACCTTCACCATATACTTTGCGTCTTTTATAACCTGTTTCGCTTGTCTACACGTATTGCTTCATGATCGGCATTGATTTGGTTTTATTTTAAATGCTTGACCCCCATAGTACCGACAGGAAGTATAACAACTTCACTGGACTCAAATCTATCATATCCTAACTTGTTTCTACCACCCTGTCTTTGCATATCTGAACGTGAAACACCGGGATATCTTTACTAGAAATGTCATGAAAATATAAGAATGTTGCTATCATACTTACCCACAATGACTTGTTTTCTAGAGCACCAAGAACTTTTTTCCAGTGAATTTCCATAGGATTCCCGCTAACCGGAAACCCGAACATAGTGAACACTAACTAACTAAAGTGTTTTAAAGAACAAGAGAGTAATGCCTACAGATTCCAAGTTTATACAAAATATTCGCTGGTTTCTGTATTATACACTTTCAGAAGTGATAGTCATACGTCTTTGTTATACAACTAACCAATGTCATAACTTTGAAACTTCACGGGATCAGTACCAAGTTATTAGTGAGCTTTGAGAGTGAGGATAGTGATCTCTGAAATCTAATAAAATACTGAAGTAGGAGATATTTTATTACATTTGAGACACTACCGAAAATTTTCATAATCTCCTAGCGAAATTCCTTATTCCTGCTGAAATGGATAAAACTGAAACATTAACTGACATTACATTAAGTGATACCATTTTTTTTGACAAAATTCAAATTTTAGCATGGAATCAGAACCGCCCATTGTTCATGAAACACATCATGAAGTAGAGCCCGGAGATCATGTTGCAGTTGAAGGGTCCGGAGAAGAATTTAAACAGAAAATGGATGATTTCATCAAAGAATTAGCCGTCAAAATGCATGGTAAGTTACATATAATTTTTTCTATGAGAGTTAAAATTCATAATAATTTTCATTATCAACATTTCAAACATAAAGTATCATATTGATCACTATGCAGTGGGTTTTATTTACCAACAAAGGTTCAAATGATGATGGCTGTAGTTATGACCCAACATGAGAACAAACGAATTCTGCTTCAATATCCTTTATTGTTCATTCCAATGAATAAAAACACAATTCATTATCTAACAGTGATACAAAAAAATATATTATGTGATATAAAAATTTGTAATTAAACACAGTAATTGATCTTAATAAATGAGCAAATGCGATAAATAAGACCACTGAAAATGATAATATACCTTAAATGAGATGCTAAGTGGTTTCCGTAACGTTGTTCAAATTGAAAGTGTTGTATTAAAGGATGTTTTTTAAGGTTTTATTTGTTAAGTCGTTCGGTTTGTTTACTGTATCCGGCAACAATTTGCCCAACTGTTATGAAAATGAGATGTTTGGTTGGTAAGCCACTTATTTCGGAAAGATAATGCGTTCTTAATTGGTATGCTTTTTGTCTCATTGACTCTCGACATTTAAAAGTAGTCACATAACCTTGAGTGAGTTGTTACGTAGGTGTAACTGATTGGCAAAAAGTTGAAAAGAAGCAACTTACAGAAGACTAATCTGTAAAAGAGACAGATGAATAATGAGCTCCATAAACGTAGAAGTCTTGAATTTGGAAAATATGTAAGTGGAAGGGACCTTAGGATTGTTGCTGATGAGCATATAAGTTGTTCAGGTGCTTTCCAAAGCCTACGTGTATTTGGTTTATTGAGGTTGGCAAGTGTTTGTGAACATTTCAGTCTTAAAAAAGGCTATGGTTACGATTAAATGCACCCAAAAGGTTGGTATGACGTTAAAGCACTTTCGTAAAATCATTGCCGTACAGTATTGGAATTTGATATCTAAAGCTATGGGAAATGTTTTCTGAAGTGGGAAGGAAAAGATTCATCGAATACATCAATTACAAATTGTCGGGAAATAATTTCCCTCATCATCAGGTTTCATGAATTAATTCAGTCCATTCAAACCAAGTCACAACACATATTTAGCAGAAAACCACTGAAGAATTATTTGTCACGATCTAGCAAAACTTTAACAACCAACCAAGAGATACCACTAGACCATCCATCTCTAATTCAAGGTGTTATAGTGTGGAATAAGATTGCCACGATCTTCATAAAAAGCCATTAATCCCTGAAGCTTCCAACAACAAATCATGTAGCACCGAAGTTTCGAGAGAAAGTACATAAACCAACGTGTAAATACCAGAATGGTTGAAGGGAAGAAAATCAATAGGACATTCAAATCTAGAAAAGCCTTGAAACAATCAAAGGCATTGTAAATGTAGATAAACCCTTGTGTTTTGTTAATATTTTGACGTTACAATACACCTTCGTTATCTTATCACCTTTTCCATTTATCGAGAAAACTGAGCGACCATCAGGGGGTAGAATCTGAAGGTTATTGTAAAAGCGTCCACCTATATATAACTGAGGTTACATAAAGTAGTCACTACAATGGCATAACAGGTGGCGACTGGGGTTATAAAAATTTTGATAGTGATTATCAGGGTGTGTGAAAACCCTCTCCCATGAAAAGAAGTGAATCACTTTATCTGATATGTTGAATGGCTGGAGGAAATCTACAGAGAACCTTGGTTGACCCAAGCTCCCGACTTTCAATATGAGACTTATCTAGAATATCGTAATTACGTAAGCTAATTAGTTTATGCTACTTGGAAGTTGAACAGTATAGTCGTCATACAGTTAGCCGTCTGGAAGGCAGGTACATCCAACTGACGAGTCCCTACTAAGACAAAACGAACGTCCCGGATTTCACTGCTAACCACTATCCATCATCAGTATCAGGGTTAAAATTACTAGCAATATCGAGGCGTCCTCATGGTAGCTCATGCACCAATACTGGCCAATTCGGCCCACTCAACGATGAAAATTCACAAGCTGTGACATCGAGCATCCTTTATTGATCAGTTTCTAACCAGGATGAAATATTTAGCTTCAGTTCTCAGGGCTTCTGTAGATGACACCTTTATATGATCAAGGTTGCCTCCAACATCATAGTGAACTTAATTTTATTGACGTTATTACCTTCATGAATTACAGGTACGAAAGTAAGAGCCGAGCTCGAAATAGCGCTGTCCTGAAATGACTATAGTCAAATACTTAATCTTCTTTAAACCATGGTTTCTCTTTATGTCTAAAGGTGACGAAAAGAGTTGGTTGGATTTCAGTAGTACTTACTTTGATGCTACTTAGAAATACTACAGCATGTTACAGACAATTATTTCGAATTAGATGTAACATTCCATTTGATTAGCTTTACAGTCTGAAATATATAAAATTTTAATGAAGGGAATTAAAGTAAAAATCACTCCATCACCACTCGTATTCTTTACTGAATAAATTGGGTGCCTCAAAGCCAGTGGCTCCCAGAGAAATTCACTTCTGAAGCACCTAAAAACTGCTTACTGAACACCTAAAGTAGTAGTCTCTTACTTGCTTAGAAGTACCAAAACAATCTATTTGGTAATCTCTTTCATAGATGGGTAACTCATAGAAGGGATTCTAACTCTATTAAGAGTGAAGTATGACACATGTTACGTATACTTACTGTCAAAATGGCATGGAGAAGATTCAACCGAAAGAAGTGGTAGTTATCCATGAAGATGAAGAGTGGGACATTACTGGGTACAACAACTAAATGTGTTACGTTGAGCCTTTATCTGAATCAAAAGTTGATGGAAGGTATCAGGATAACGAGTAATAGGTTGATGAAGTGAGCCTAAAACCTGAATAACTCAATGTAAGTTGTTTAAAAATTAAAGAAAGGAAGTAAGATAAATTCAGCAGCTAATATGGAGGTGAGCAAACATGCTTCTAGCATTTTGATAAATACTACTTTATGACTCGAAAGGAAGGAAGTCTGGCCTCAGTGTTGTAAACACACTACAAAAAAATCTGTATGAAACAGTTACCATCACTAAGAAATATCTCCAGCAGTCACTAATATAAGAACTGAATAATTTGAAGTCATTTTGATGGCTCCTATGCCAAAGTTAGATTTCGTTGCACCCACTTGGAAACCAGATAACGTGCATCTACTATTTGGAAGCTATCGCCAATTTGAATACTAACTTCATCTGTCAGACGACAGTCACTTTTCATATCCACTTGGTCCTATTTGATTGTTAAAAATACATAAAATCTTGTGATGGAAGGGAAGTGAGTATGACTCAATTCTTTCTTTATCTATAGACTTCGATTAACTCTGGAGAATTGACCATCTAACAGACCCCTCATGTGCATAAATCATTCTTACCAGACATGAACAACGGGATTAATAGCTTAGCAGCAAATTGTGTCTTAAGCCCTAAGCGATACAGGTTGTAATTCCTAAGACATCATGGATATCTTATGATGTAAGATATATCTTGGTGACGACTGTCATTTGAGCATGAACTATGGGGAATTCTGATTAATAAGTCCGTACAACTACCATCAAAGTCAGTGCATAACAGTAGATTCAATGCCCTAAGAATTTATTTAATTCATGTTACATATTCAAATAAAGAACGCTGTATATTATATAATTCCTGTTTTGTTTTCTTATTCTAGTTCCCACAGGAGCTGTCATCGCCATGGTTATTGGCATGATCCTATTTGTTCTGCTAATACTCTTCTGTATTTGCAAACGGTGTGTTTTCAAACGTCGAAAAAAAGATCGTGGAGCGAAGAAAAGCAAGGCGGACATAAAAAGTGTACAACTTTTAGGCAAAGGTTTAACTAAAGACAAAGTAAGTTATTGTGCATTCTTGTGTTTAATGACACTGATTGTTTTAATAACTGTGAAAATAATGCTGTTAAAGGTTTGATACTTACTAGTCATATTGTAATTTGCTTCAGGGTGGCTAGTAGTGGAATCCAAGACGCGCGTTTCTTTTTATTTGAGACTCATCAGCTAGATGTACGTGCACCCCAGTTAGTGTTAGTGTTCTTACTGAGACTCGAATGCAGCATCCATTACTTCAATCACCAATCCGTTATCTACTAGGCCACTGAGGCACAAGGGCTAACTCTTATACAACGGGTATTAGTCATTATTATTTATTGAGTAAAGAATAAACTACCGTTATGCAGATACTTAGATATTGTTTGATTACAAATATTAATAAATAAAAATAAATTACTTGTTATGGTTTGTGTTACATTGGGATCTGTTGAATACGTGGTCAAATTAATTGAATGTTTTGATTCACCTACTGCAGAATTATATTCTGCTTCATGCTTAAAAAGAATACTTTTTAACAGTCAGTTTCTTCAAGTTTAGAGCTTCATATCGATGGTGTTTTTGAGAACAGTTCTTAAGATTGCTTCGCTGATATGAACTTTTAAATATCGTCTTTGTCAAGTGTCACTAGAACTTAAGGTACCCAAAGTGAACGATAATACTGTTATTTATCGATGTAATGTCAATTAAAACTGATTGATAAATACTCATTTGTGGTAAAAATCTGCGAGAAGTCTTGCAAACACCTGTTTATCTGTGTGAAACAACTTGTGATCTACAGATTACCTATCCACAACTTAAGCTTCCTTACTGCTATCAACTTTCGTTAAAACACCAAACTTTTAATTACAAATAACTTAGGTTATTGTGTTACCGTCCAGCTTGAAGGACAAATATGTGAAAACACAAAGATGTCATAAGTTGGAGGTTTTTTCAGGGATTCATTTATTGGTTTCACTTTGGTATTGACCATGGACTAACATCACTTGGAGAACCACTGGAAACCTGGGAGAACTGGACAACTTTTCCGTTCTAGTATGGGACTCCTCAACATTGCCCACGCATGACCCCACTAGGGACCGAACCCAGGACCTACAGGTTCTGCAGCCAGCATCAATAAGCCATTGAGTCGGTACCCAATGGTCTATATTCCTACTTCTGTCAGTTCACGATAGACCGTGACCTCCGTCATGAACTGACAGAAGCAGAAAATGTGGACCTTGGGACGTCGAATAAGCGGCCCAATGATAACGTGCTGGCCTTGGAACCTAAAGGTCCTGGATTCGATTCCAGATGGGGTTATGGGTGGACACTACTGAGAAGTCCCAAGTCCAATTTCAGGGTGAAACAGCCATCCAGTACTATCGGGTTTCAAATGGTTCTTCAAGTGATGTCAGCCAATGATCAATACCAACGAAAAACATGGTGATATACCGAATCAATTTGAATGTAATAAGGTAGCAGGTGGTACAATGATGAAAGGTATAGAAAGTGTAGGAAATTTCGCAGAAGATATAATGTAAATTAGTCAACTCAAATGTGACCAATTTCGATTCACATCCTTCATTTTCCTGAGCGGCTTATTTCTAAGTTCTTACTGACTTCAGCTAAAAAGTCTTCGCTGTCACATAACTAGAACATTCGGTGAATAAATTCCTGAAATAGTGAGTGTAAAATTCTTCGAGATAAAGTGTTTAGATGTTACAGTGATTACATTGAAACTACTGGAAGTCATCTGCTGATAGAATATCGTACTTTCAATCAAAAACTGTTTCTTCGACAAATATCGCTCTACTTTTACTTTCAAGAATATGCAAATTCTTACTGACTTTCAGAGACTATTCAATAAAGCTGAGGTATCATCAAGTTAAGCAATAATAGTTAGTTGTTGCGTATAAAAACCGAAAGCACCTATAGCAAACGCCCCACAGTGGTGTAAGCCTTTTGTTTTAATTTTTAACTGCAGTGATATAAATTCAAATGCTCTGTAAATGATAGCATACATCGAAGGTTTCTGTTCCATGGAATACAATTTTACCAAACAAAACAACTGTATTATAAAATGACAACGTGTTTAGCTGATAGACTATTTTAAAATGGAGAGATTGGTTGTTTAGCTTCAAATGCCCAATGATGGTAATGACAAGGACTGTGATAAGAATACTTTGCTATGCTACAGATGGCTATGTTATTATAAACTAAGAATTGACAAATTGGAAAGGTATTCAAATCAAGAAGGGGTGACAGAAAGACATTCTTTAATACGGTATTCAAGCTTTAGAGGAACATACAGCATGAATAGATGCGCAGAGTTTCAGTCAACTTTGATATGAACACCACTTATTGTTAAGTAGTAGTTATAAAACTTTTCTTGAGAAAATTTGGAAAAATGTTTCCTTCTCAGTCGCACAATGCTTTATTCAGTTTCATTTGCTCGAATGTTGAATATATTCTTACGGTATCATCTCCTTCTCTACAATATGTTACTCCTTAGTTTTTGTCTGTTTGCGTAATGAAAGTAAAGTGTTTGGATTTTATAGTTCTCATGAAATGCTCAGACGGTGACCTGTGATGTGGATCACCCATCATTTTCAAGTAAAAACTCCATTCCCATGGTTTTCACCAAGCTACTATGCGAGTATTCGAAGAAAGTAGAAGCAAAACGGCTTCTCAAATACTTCATCATTTTGTACGTAGTACAACTGATTTCAGACTTGATCTTCTGTTCCGTAATTTCAAAATTACGTCTATTATCCTCCCGACTACATGAGAATTCATTACCAAGTGAATGAAAGAGAAAGTAAGAAAACATGGAATCAGTGAGTTAAAAAGCAGTTTCTTCAACTGTAAAATCATCCCTAAAGTGGTGATTACCGCCACTAAATAATTACTCACAATCATGCCTCACTGTTTTGTCAGTTTTAGTGAAGTATGTTCATTAAAAGTAAGAAACGGTCAAACAGTTCCCCCAATAATCATAAAGGCATTAGTTAAACTGGATTTCAACACTGTTGCACCACTTAGTTGAAATATGGACAAGTCGGAGGCCATCGATTAGAATTCTACCTCAGTACTAGTTCACCTTTCATCTTCAGTTATTAACTTGCAATATAAATTCTTAGACTTAAATAGCTACGGTAATAAACCATATCTAACGATATAACGAGTGGTTTACTCTGTGCAGTATCATTTTCTGCATGCCATTGTACTTGTCAAATACGCTTTAGATGTGCAACGATTGGTTACTTGACGGTGACCAAGTTCATATTCTCTAGTTCTGAGTACTGGTTGAATTCTGTCGGTCATTTTGCAATTTGGTTTTCTAGCTAAGAGATGATAGTTTCGCTGAAATAGGCTACAGATGAATGAGTGTCTTCGTTCAACACCTACATATTAATCAAACATTTGTATGCTGATACCTTACAACTTTCTGTACATACCTTGGACAATAATATGAATACATTGTGTATTTAAACGTTTTTATTTAATTCACTTAGGGAGATTTGGATGAACTAGAAGCCAACATGGAAGACAATGAAGGCGTACAGGAAAAGGAGGAAGTTCATTTGGGAAAACTTCAGTATTCTATTGACTATGACTTTACGCAAGGAGAGGTGAGTCATTCACAGAAATAGATTGTTTAACTGAATAGTAGTTTAATAGTGATTAGCCAGTGACAATTAGCTATCAATAGCTAATATCTGTATACATACATGCCTGATTCAGACAGTTGTTCCAAGGCCTTTTGTGCTGATTATTGTGCGTTCAGTTGTTGTTTCTGAATGAATAAAGAAACGCACTCCATGTTGTGTAGTAATTTTCAAACCAACAAGATACGTGTTTATTACCAACAATCAGTGATAGGTCAGCCGATTTAACTTGTCGAACTTATAAAACTGACCATCAAAAACTCTTTATTTGATTATTATTTTGGTGATCGGATTTACCGAAGCTATGAGATCAGATGTTTCATGGAATATGAGAAACAACAATTATGGCCAAGATGCTGTTCATTTACCATTGGGATAATAGTTATTCGGTATCTACCGAGTACACTATCTTAGACAGATTATACCCTGCGGTTCTTTATATATTCTGATAAATATGGAGCATCAGTTATGTGATTCATTTCTGAGCCAACAGCCCACCTACTGGTATTACCTCTGGTTTGATAGACAGAACGATTTCAGGTGAAAAGTTCATGACACTTTTCTCAATTATGAACTTCTCAGTATTGTACGTTCTTGACTCGATATGACGGCAATACCCTAACATAGGGGATTCCCAACTAGCATATTACCCTCCAGTCAGGGCAACTGCTGATTATTCCATCTCAGTGCTAAGTTTGGTCACTTCAGAGTGTAGCACGAACATCAGAAAATGCAATCTCAAAGTGGTATTCAACATAGAGTGATATCAGGTAGAGAAAACCATGGAGCACTGAACAGCTGTTTCCTCCTAGTACGAAACTCCTCAAGAGTGCTCACCTATGACCTTCAAGTTTTATGGCGTATACGTTAACAACATTGAGCCACTGGGTCCGAATCTAATGGTCCATATTTTCCTGCTTCTCATGAGAAGACGTTATCTGTAAGACAAACCAATTCGGGTGAGGGAACAAATACTGAACAATGTCACTGAATGATGGTCGCAATATATCACGAGTCGATAGAAGTTGTAAAATATTAACCACTAGATTCTGACTTAATGGCTCAGTAGTAACGTGCTCGTCACGAGACCTGAACCTCCTGGGTACGATCTCTGACGGAGTCGTAGGTGCGCACAGTAGATGAGTTCCAAATGAGGACGAAACAGCTGTGCATCCTCCCAGGTTTCCAATAGTTTCTCACATGATTGAAGTGTGTGTTGAATGCCACCTTCAAATCAGTAAATCCATGTTCACCTCCAGACAACGTGATCATTAGATATCAATTCTTCACCAAAGTAAAATATCAAAACAATCCCACTTGAACATAGGAAAACACAGAAGACGACTGGAATCAAGAAAAATGTTTCTTTTTGACGAAATCATTTTCTTAGCTGTGCATTCCTGAATATATAGTAAAAAGGATAGGATATTCTAGAGTAATTTTCGGTCAAAAATCAGTATAAATGACGTCACAAAGGAAGATTATATAGTGGGGAAATGGACAAAATGATTACAAAATAAAAATGGCCACATCGTATGTGGGTTATCTAGAGCGATCGATCCTTTACGATGGTCATAGCAAAGAACGAGGCTGTGCATACGTACTTCTTTGAAAGTATAATAATGGTGTGAACGTTTGAATGACTAATGTTTCAGCTATGCTCAGAAGACTTCACCTCACTCCCTTCCAGTGGCTTGATTAAAAGAACAATTTCGTTTTTTGCCATGACTATAGTAAAGGGTCGATCTCTCTACATAACTCACATATAACATAACCATTTCTACTTTGTAATAGTCCTGTCCATCTCCCCATCACGTAACTTTCCTTTGTGACGTAATTCATATTGACCTTTGACCGGAAATTACTCTGGAATGTCCCATCCTTTTTACCAACGTAAAAGTAAAACTTAGGCACTACAATAAAGTATAATTCCACTTCAGATTGTTTATTTGATATAGCACACTGTGATACACTATTATTTACTGGCTATCGTTACCAGTAGGATTTATTGCTTAAAATCCTAACAGTGTTATTTGGTTATGAACGATTAAGTTTGCTGGTAACATCATCTATTGAATAATATTGCATCACTGCGTGCTATATCAAGTAAACAATTTGTCCTGAATCAGTTTTACACGTTGAAACTGTTCATCCCCGCAAAGAACAGTTTAGGACATTTATCTTGTAGCAGATCACTGATAAGATTCTTAGTTGGATGATAGCCTTTTATTAAGCATAGGAACTTATAATAGTTGGAATGTGGAATAAGCTTTTGAATTTTAGTAATGTTGTGCTTTTCTAGCTCAAGAGTTTGGTTGTGAAGCTCCAACTATCTAAAGTTGGTCACAGTGCACTTAAGTGGCAAGTTTCCTAGCTAACCAACAACATTATCCAATTATCAATAGGATTCTGTCAGAGATTTCGAATAAACAACTTGGGTTGGCTGAAATTAACTGCTGTTCTTGATTAGGCCACGGCTCATTGGCCCAGTTGCTCGATCCCAACAGGTGATTTGCAATTTCTTACTCCAACGTTCAATTTGAAAGGTTAATAGCTATACCTCATAGTCTAAAGGGTGGATTCGTCATCACAGTCAATAATGAATAGATTGTCATATATATATATATATATATATATATATATATATATATATATATATATATATATATTCAGTGTTTCTACCCGCTCAGTATGCGTCTATTTACTACATTGTGGATTCACATACACGATCTAAGTATTTAAGTGATTTAAGGTGTGGTTTTTGCTTACTGTTGTGGATTACCTTGAAGTGAATAAAAAGCGTGCCATTTTTACCAAGACACTCAGAATATAGTTAATGATAGTTTTCAGGCTTTACATTTCCCTAGCAGACCATTGAATCCTCTAGGCGGTTCGACGCAGACAAGCTATAGATATTAGTAATAACCGATATACATTTTAAGAGAGGAGCTACGCAATGCAACATTATTTTATGAAATTTTAAATTTTAAATCCTGACAAGAAGACCGATACATACCTAAGTTGCTAGTACTGAATAGAATATAGCATGGACAAGAAGCAAAAAACCTTAGTCGATTTACTCCGAACATCCTAAAATTACGTCTTTCTCTGGTAGGAGTTTGAAAGTTATACCATGACAACTCTATATCTGGGGTTTACAGTAAAGCCTGATTGAGCTTTCTACAGCCATTTTCCTTATATCTGTGAGTCATGACAAAATGCTTATTTGTACAGGTTGTTCAGTTCTTCATTCATTTATTCATTTGTCCTTTTTATTCCTAGTTAACTGTTGGCGTTATACAAGCTACGGATCTGCCTGGAATGGACTTGTCTGGAACGTCTGATCCATATGTGAAAGTCTTTCTTCTGCCTGAGAAAAAAAAGAAATATGAAACTAAAGTGCATCGGAAAACTTTGAATCCAGTGTTCAATGAGACATTTGTCTTTAAAGTGAGTTTAACTCTGTATACTTTGGCTGTTCTCTATCGCATTGCATGGGATTTGCCTGAAACTTATGTTTACTGATAATTATTTAGCTGAGAAAAGTCTAACAAGAAAAGTAAGTAATTGGGTAAGTACTTTGAACAAATTTTTAACGTGCATCTTAACAAAACGCAATTATATGACATTATGGGCACCTATCTCTGAATATAGATTGTATTTGTATGATTCACAGTGAGTTTGAAATCAAATAATTCCAACGTTTTGCACGGAAGTTTGGCCCAAGCTTTTTCAGGGAAATAATACAAAAATCTCTGAATGATGAAGACATTTTCATACTTTACAAACAAAAGAAACATCTATGTTTCATCAGTGAACATTATGCCTATCGACGGAAAATGATCAATCAAGGTATGAAATTCAGTCCTATAGAAGGTCAGCCGCGGCCAGAATAGCTCAGTGGTAACTTTTCTGACTCCAACACTGGGTGGTGTGGATTCGAGTCTCAGATGTGACATCAGTTCTCTCAAGGTTGCAGAGCCATCTTGCTGAGGAATACCAAAACCATGAAACCTAAGCCTACGACTTCCTGCCGATTGCCTCCATCCAACTAAGATTAATTATCAAGTATTTAGTGCAGGTGAAAGACATAAGTTATTAACCTTAAGCTATTCTAAATTTTCGAGTAACCCTAAAACCCATCCTAGCAACTACTGAAGTAACCAAATAGAGTTCTGAATTTTCCAGTAAGACTGCCTTACCAGTCGAAATTAAGAAACCAGACTGGTTATTTCATCAGTTTCTGGGGTGGCCTTTAAAGTCACTCACATTTTTAATTCTTATTTCTTTTGTTGTGCGCTGACATTGTTGGTAATATATATTCAGACAAATCCGACTAGGATGAATTAATTGGACTATCGAAATTCATAACAAGTGATTGAGACTGCATGATTTTATTAGTATATCGCTGAATTCTAACCGCCTGATGTAATCTGTTTATCGATTTGGGTGACACTTAGCTATTCATATTTTTAAGCAGTCCATTCTGTTAGGTTGCGACAATTTAAGTTCACGCTAACCTTAAGCATTGACCATTCACTTTTTATAGTCCTCCAATAATCACCATGGCTGTGTCAAGTAACCACTCAACTGTGAGTAATTTTTGAACAATATGTAAAGAATTTTTTAACACAAATATCTCGATAACTGAGACTTATTTCTCGGAAATCTATGGTGCAAGAGACAATAAGATCGGTATCTTCAAGATGAAATTTACTTGTTTCGGTGATAAGTTACTGCAACGGTAGATTATAACTCCGAGTTAATAATGCTCACTAAATATGCAGTGATAGAACTTTGGATCTCATTATTGCTTACAATAAACACAGCCTATAGACATAACTGTGATATATCAATTATGTATTCCTAGTGCTTCTCTTTCGTTCATCTCTGCGGTGTTGAAATACCTGCATTCATCTAGAACATATACTAAGTCATTCATGTTACAAGTGCTGGATCTTGATCTAGCTTTTGGTCACTCTTCTCTACTTCCTTCCACCTGGCTGTATTCATGTCTACGACTGGAACTACATCAGTGCAGTATTTGTCTGGATTGTCGATCTCTGCAGTGCTTTAGTATAGTATGACTCATAGTGATCAGCTAATTTTGACTTCCAAACTTTAAGTTCCAGTCACTGCATGAGAATTTTGCAGCGTTAACTATTCCGTTTTATAGAGCTGTTGGGAGTGTCTTGCATAATTTGTATTCAGTATAGTCAGTGGTTATCACTGAAATCCAGGACATGCAATTCATTTTATTTGCGACTCAGGTTGATGTTTGACGTAATTTTTAATACTTCAACCGAAAATTCCTGATGCCTTCATGCTCCATGCAACATTTTTAACACAATGAAACGCTTTCTGGTGACACCATGTTTATTTTTGAATCTTTCGAAGTGATATGTAATTCAGCAGACGTCTACACAACTGCGTACCAGATTTTATACCACAGGTGTTGTGTGTCGTATAAGATCCTTTGTCATACTAACCCGTCACCCAAATTAAAGTGTGTGCCGTATCTTTCTAACTCATGACCCAGTAGTCCGAAGACTAATGCGCGAACCGTTGAGCAGTCTTCAAGCCAGAAAATGTTTATTTGTTCTAGTATAGATTTTGTGGCTTACTACTACAAACTTTCAGCAGTCGATCGGTAAAAGTTAACGACTAATTTTTGCTAAATTTTACATTTTCAGATTTTCCGCTTTTAGCTTTTTGTATACCCTTCATTTGTAAGATATTGGGAAAAAGCATTTAGGTGACCAGTCTGAAACTCTAAGATACTTAATTACCAACCAATTAGGTTCTTTTATTTCCGTTGGAAAAGTAGCTTTTTCATTGAAAAAAAAGTCATATTAGTCATTTCAGCAGTTGTCCCAGTGACCTTTAAAGTCATTTGTCACTCCTATCCAGACATAGGCATCCGTTAAATTACTGAATATGTCATTCTAATCGTATTAGTTATTATTGTACATGTGGCGTGACTTTGAAGGCCAGTCCTAGCAACTGCCGAGATAACTAATTTCTTTTTATTTTATTAAAAAAACCATTTTTAGCCAGAATACCGTAACCTGATTGGTTATTTCAGCAGTTGCTAAGGTGGCTTTAAAGGCCACCCTAGCAACTATCGAAATAACCAGTTAGATGTCTTAATTTTGTCTGGCAAGGCAGATTTCATAAAACAGAGTAGTTTGATTGGTTATTTCAGTTGTTGCCAGGGTGGCCTTTAAAGTCATTCCTAAAATCGTCGTACATGTTCAGTGACTCAAACTGCTCTCTTTTAAACATACGCTTGCGTGTCTCGGGTAGGCTCTAAAAGCCACCCAAGCAACTGATGAAACAACCAATTACGTTTCTCTATCCTGTGAAAAATTGCCTTCGCTTACAAAATTCCGCAACCTGATTGGTTGTTTTGGCAGTTGTTAGGGTGGCCTTTAAAGTCACCCAATCAGGTTCCCCAATTCCGGCTAGAAAAGAATATAAAGAAATGTAATTGGTTATCTCGGCGGTTGCTAGGGTGGCCTTTAAAGTCACCTGATATTTGTGATTGAGGTCATTGCGTCGTGAGGTTGGTTATTTCGTCTGTCTGATCTTTAGATGCTGTTTCAATACAAATGATAATCTTTTTTTTCCTGCGGCATCCTAAATTAACGGTTTCAGCTGGTACCAAGTCCATGCTTAAAATTTAGTACCTGCGCCCCAGTGAGTGATTGTGTTCCCATTGCTAGTTACCCAGTCAAACTAAAACATCATAGATATTCAGGCGGTAACGAGGCCTCCGTATAGGAACCCTCTGTCAACATAGGTTGAGTAATTCGACCCAGTATGGCAGCGGGGGAATTACAAGTATCATAAAAACAACTGATACCCACTTCACAAGAGGTGGCTCCATGCCTCAGGAGCCTTGTGGATAACGTTTAGGCGCTTCTAGAGATGGGTATTAAGCTGAAGTCTTGGTGGGAACGCCGTCACTCACTGAGTGCTGACGGGTCTCAAGCAGGACAAAACGCACGTCCTGGACTCTACTTCCGGGCCAATCTTGTCTTTCAATTTTGAAGACTTAGTACGTATCATCGGTTAACTTTAAATAAGGCAGATAAAACTCATCTCTTTTATATTTTTCAGTTGAAATTGTATTGTTCATTTATGTGTACAGTTGGCTGTCATCATTCATAGTCGTTATCTGTTGGTTTTCAGCTTTCAATCGATACATTCTTTTAGATGACTTAATTAGTTTTATTTAGCGTGTAACACGGTTAATCATACGTGGTTTTCCTATGAACTATCGTGTAACAGATAACAGCCCACTTAATGCTGTCTCCTCTCTTCCATTATTTAAGGTTCCATACGCTGAGATTGGCGGAAAAACTCTGGTCTTTAATGTTTATGATTTCGATAGATTTTCTAAACACGATCAAATAGGTCAAATTCAAGTGCCACTTGGTTCTGTCGATTTGGCGCGTGTAATTGAAGAGTGGCGTGATCTCAGTCCTCCTGATGATGACGAAAAGGTAAGTTGAGTAGCACTTTACCCCTAAAAGAACCGTCAAATTTCTATAAATGTAAATAATATTTTCGTTCTACATTTTTAAATGACATTTTTCATAGGAAGGACTGATAAGTCAACAGATATTACTCATGCTATTTAGCTTGGAAAATGTTTAAGTAATAGGTTTATTTTAGCCTAGGAATTACCGACTGAATATGTTTTAAACGTTGAATACTCCTGACAATAAGATCAGCTAAGTTTTGGCAGGTAGTATGCACCGTTTGTCTTCTTCAATGTGGACTTTAAGAATACCAACTTGAAATTGATCTCATGCTTTTTCTTGGGAAAACGAGAACCTTATACATGAGTGGAACATTTCAAGTTAAAACGTCTTACAACTGCTCAAGACTAGTAGGTAAGCAAAAATAGAACGACCGTAAAACAAACAAAAAGGAGTATGATCGATTTCGACGAATACTGTCAAGAGTTTGGCCTCATTTATTCCTAAAATGTTAACAATCCTAGCCAGGTAGTCAACACTTTTCTATACTAATTAGACTGACGGCTAGAGGAAACAGTAACGAAGTTAATAAATAGAAAATATAATTCATTAGGACATTTTCAGCACACTACTTTGAAGTCCGAAGAAAAAATCGCTGGTTAACTAAGATTTTGAGTTATTTGCGTCCAAATAGTTCTTTACAATTTACCTATATTTGTTATTCGTATTTTGGTGTAACGGACACTTGCACATATGATAAAAGTAAATGTGGTATGGGATCGATATTCAATTTTGAATAGTTTTTCGCAGTATTTCATGAAGTAAAAGCAATTACAAAAAACATTTTAAATGTAGAGTATGCAACAAAGTTGGATTAGTGTAACTCCTAAAAGGATCTGTACACTTATCTCTAGTCGTATCGTCTTCGTAATTTGCCGGATAATTACTGGCAGTGGGATACAGGACACGCGTTTCATCCTATTCGGGACTCGTTAAATGGATGTACCTGGACCCAAATGACTGTTGTTCCTATTGAGACTCGAACCCAGTACCAATAGCTTCAAATGCCAAAGTGTTATCCACTAGGTCACTGGAGTATGAGGGCCACCTTTTGTGCAACGGCTACCAGTTATTGTTATTTGTTTGTATTTGTGATTCCCCGTTGTTATTCAGAACAGAGGTCGATCAATCTGCAACCCGTGCAACACTTACTCATTCGGGTATGCAGATGGTACCGATGTTAATGGCCACACTCAAAGTCAACACCGTAATCGTTATTTAATAGTCCTTAAGGCTTTTAGAGATCTGATTCATAGCATGAAATAAAATCCAGCATGTTTTTTAAGAATGAGTGCACCACATTTTTCCGTCATTCTTTTTTCAAGAAAACTATTGGTATTTTTAGAAAGGACACGCTTTCTTGTGATCCTTTTCGTCAAGGGAGGTAATATTTTAGAAGCTTGAAGAGCATTTTTCTTTTTAGCCGCTCAGTAAATGAATCTGCGTAACTACTAGCTACAGGTTTGGCTTTGGTGCCTACTAATATTCATCAATAGAACATGTTTGCAACCTTGAAGTATCATGTGCTCATCAAGAAACTTGAGCCGATATGAAGTTTGCCTCAGAAGTGGCACTTTACATGATTGAATTGTATAGATGAATCAGTTGCTATATGATAACCGAATTATCATGCCACCATCTTGTTTTTGACACAATTGTAATTTTATCAACAGCACACAAATGGTTGCTATCCGGAACTAGTATTACTCTCTTGTGTGGTAATTGGCGGGAGTAACTAGGACTTTCTAGGCGGCACAGCTCGGCTTCATAGTTATGTGCCAGGTCTTCAACAGGAAGAAATTCCACACGGTATGATTTAGTAGTGCTAAGTTTGTGTTGCTGGCTTGTGAAAGCTGCAGAGGTTTCATGCACCGGGGATTACGAGTAGGTCCTAGTCGCGTACAACGGTGAGCCTCCTCATGGCTCCGCTGGATATCAACCAATACACCGTCAAGTCGATCGACCGCAAAGACCACGGTCGATGAGATCTATGTGCGAAAAATTAGTGGGACAGGTCTTCAAAGCGTGGATGGTTTTGTAAGCCCTCAGGATTCCGCCCAGTGTGCTAGAAGCAGGGCAACCGAGAGGTAAGGTGAATTCAGCTTCCTAAACTCGTTAGTCCCTGTTGTTGAAGAAATTCCGAGGGAAGTGTGAATTTTTACCTTGAGAAGAAGGCTGACATTCGTTCTCCAATGTCCTAGCCTTGTCTGTATTTCAGTAGCCTTGAAGACTTCAGTGAGACGCGTCCCATGCGCGTGTTTTTACGAGGAAGGGGGTAGTACGGTCAGTAAACCAATTACCCGGTGAGTATAGAATCACTGAAGCCCGACAGTTAGGGGGGGATAACACTGATCATTTGGAGGGGCCTTCACATAGTGCTCTGATATGAGTGTTCATTTTAATGTAAATGCATTTCTTGGATGTTTCCTGCTCGGCAAGAGAACCGATCAACCGGGTTTATGATAGAGCATTCATAGATCTGAAGACTGGTCTGGAACTTGAAGCCGAGCCGAAAATTGGAGAGAAGCATTAGATAATTAGATAACTCGTGCTTATGTTGGTAGGCATAAGTGTTTGCAATCCATTCTTAATTTTCAAAATCTCTACCAATTTTCACGACCGATAGTCTGTCTCATGTTACTTGGCTTTATCAATAAACATAAACCAGATTGTTCTGATTTAACAGTGACAAAAAAATCTTGCAGCTGAGAATAACTGTCAGTTGAAAAAACTAAGAACTTATTGGACTCCATTATGGTGGATGGTAATAATATATGATCCAAGTTTCAATAAGAATTAAATCTTTTTCTGCAGCTGATTGCTCAGCTTTTATTTTACTTTTAGGAAAATCGTCTTGGAGATATTTGCTTCTCATTACGCTATGTACCAACCGCCGGGAAGTTGACTATCAATATTTTGGAAGCTAAAAATTTGAAGAAAATGGATGTTGGCGGACTATCAGGTAAGTGGAATTACTGGAGTTAAACGTGACTCAGAACTATATGGTCGTGGTGTGAAAAGCTGTACCATATAAGGGAGAAGTTAGTGATAGTACAGTTAACTGCATTCAGTTACTAGAGAATTTCTTCTCGGTACAGTACTAACATGGATTCAGTGACAAACTTTCCTGATATATGAAGAAGAAGATAAAGAATGTTAGACCTTACACTAATCCCTAGATTTAAACTACCCGCGTCCTGCATCTTTGAACTCAATTTTGTCTGAGTAGAGCGTAAGTAATTTCAGCTAAAAAGGAAAGCAACTGAGTTATTGTGTTAGACTTTGGAAGCCAGTCAGCAAGAAACCCCGAAACTGGGTTTCGCGCTTGGTGGCACTCATCAGCGTGATGCATATGCAACGGCGTGAAAACTGATTTTCATTCATTATTCAGGTCACAGCACTAATCACTAAGCTATTCACGCAATGAATGGTTCCCAGTGGGGTAACATAACACCTATCTGATTAACGACTAACTATGGTTCTTCCATTAAATGTCTCGATTCCTACTTGAGGTTTAGGAAAAGTTAAATCAGAGGGGGGAGATTGTAATTTCAAAACCACATCCAGTGGTTGACTATATCTATGAACTTCATAATTATTCTGTAGGATATATATATATATATATATATATATATATATATATATATATATATCCACTCAGTAAAAGATGCGCCAAATCGGGATCACACTGCTTAGACCCATAGCTGCTACCTTGACGTGACGGTTAAGCTTGCATATCACAATGCCCGAAGGAAGTATACTGGTAAAATGCTTCCTCATTCGATTTCCTACCATAGTAGTAAGGGGAATAGTGTTAGTGTAGATTTCTGCGCTAGGATGGGGATTCGAGGCTGAAGTCGTACTGCCAGCTGTGTGGAGACGTAAACAACAGTAAGGTGTTTCCTGAGTATGATTAGCAGTGCCATACTGCCTTCCCTATGGGAAGGAAAAGTTAGAAAAAGTCAGCCCTAAAAGTAGAGCACTCTCATCAACCTCGTGGCATACCGGTGTCGGCGACATGGGATCGTAGTCGGATTTGAAACTAACAAGATCACTTTTCAAACTTAGAGAAAGACCATGTATGACAGGTCTCAAGGAAATATCCCCTGGGCTATGTGGTGACGCACTTAACCTTCTTTTTCAGGTACCTCAGGAATAAATAGCCTCTCGAAGTGTGGACAACTGTGAAGTGTCGACCACCTTCACAACCCTGTCAGCACTCAAATTCCTCCATATCACTGTTAACCGTCCACATCTTTACCTGCTAACCTCCCCCCAGGTTTCTTGATTAACATTCTTACTTCATCTCTAGTTTCTCCCAGCTCTGGAGCTCTTGATAATGATCCGAGCTAAATAAACAGCATCGCTGATCTGAAACCGCACTCCAAACTGCACATTAGGATTTTCAGTGCCCCTACCCTCCATCAAATCGGTCAACAAGCTTCACTAGTCAAAACTCTGGGATCTTGGGTCATTGATATGTGCTGTGTTTGTGAGACAAGTGTACAAGATCCAAGTGCGGTTATTTACTTAACCTCCCCCGATCAATCTGGTGAATCCGCGAAACTCACGCTTCGAGTTTCTGGAAACTCGATGACCAATTTTTGCTATCTTGCAGGTGCAGGTTATAGCGTTGACGCTCAAGGCAGGAAGCATAGTACTCGACTGGATCCCAATTGACAGTCACTTGTGAGCTGTTTGACTGAATGCACAGTGAGAAATAAAAAGAGCAGTGAAACTCGTCGTTGTCTCTTTGATATTTTTTCTAAGTTCCTAAACACATATTGACTGCAGTTGGGAAGAAGTGAAGGATGAGTTTTATCGAAAACAGTCTATCTTCCCATTGGGAGCCGAACCTTCAGACATGGTCGTCTTAGTAGCTGACTTCAATGCACAGGTAGGTAGGCTAAGTCAAACAGAATGGTATTCAGCGGAGAAGGATATATGTGGTTCACTTCCAGGAGAGATGAATGAAACGACGGGCGGAACACTTCGACTGGCCTCCAACTACTACTCCATCGCCCATTCCAGTCGGATACGAAATGGGACACTGAGATAAGACCTCCAACACTCTCAGAAGTCAAGAGAGCTGTAAGTAATCTGAAACGAGGAAGGGTATTAGGATCAGACAAGCTGTTACCGAAGATATTTAAGGAGGGTGGTCGCCAAATATGAGTCAGGTTAATTGAAGTGTTAGTCACTGTTTGAGAATCAGACGAGATCCTCACTAACTGGTATCAATCACTGATTGTCTGAGTCTTCAAGAAAGGGGAGAAATTGTCTAGTGATAGCCACAGGGGAATCAGGCTGACGAACATGGTGTCTAGGATTACAGGTTATATAGTCACTAGACTTCTCAGTGGAGCTCGGAAACGGCGAACGCGAGAAAACGAGGTAGGCTTCAGGCCTGACCTTGGGTGTATCAACCAGATATTCATCCTCAGACAAGTTATGGAATACAGGGACACCGATGCCCAATATTAGTTGCATTTCTCGATCTGAAGGTAGCACTCGACTCCTTCAATTAGAGGTCTTATGGCAATGTCTCTCACTGAAGGGGGTGCCAAGTAATTACAGGACTTTGTTACGGCCGGCAATGAGTTTTGTACACCGAGTGATGTCCGTCAGGGATGTCCATCCACTCCATTCTTGTTCAATTTTATCAAGAACGTACTTATGGAAGTCTCATTCCTGTCGTCTGACTACAGAAATCCATCTTATCACAGAAGAATCTTTGGAATATCTAGAGTACTCAGATCACATAGTACTGTAAGGTGAAGTCTCTGACAAAATGTCTTGAATGGCAGTTGGAAAATATTTGGGTTACGTTCCTTGGCACCACTCAAATGCAAATTGTTGTTGCAAAGCTGGTCTTTAGCTCTGCCTTATTTAACAAGGGGGAGTGAAATGGTTGAGCATATGGACGACTTCATTTACTTGAGAAGTCGGACCAGCCGGATGGATCAGTGACCCATAAAATCTGTATGCCCATACAAAAGGCTTGATTGGCTTTCACCACCATACACCTGTGTAGCCACTGTGATATCCGATCTCTTATTAAAGGACGAGTGAGCTGCACTTAAGTTCATTCCGTCCTACCATATGGCTGTGAAACATGGCCATGAAAGGTAGAGGACGTGAGGAAGGTTTAAGCTGTTCGATCATCGTTGCTTTTGTCGTGCAGGCCGCGCGGAGTGGCGCTGCCGCATAAGTAACATGGAAGTCAGGTGTACAGTTTTAAGGAGATGAGTAAATTCAGTCTACGAGGTTAAAAATCTTTATCGACTCAAGTGGCTGGGACGTGTGTTACGCATGCCTAGTCACGCAATGTTAGCTGGTGACTATCAGACTTAGACATGGGATTGTTGAATGAAGTCTGTGACTGTTTGTCTGTATCATGAAAGGAAACGTTAACTTCCTGTTTTCGTTCCGCATGACAACAGAATTCAGTCACGGGAATTTTTAAGCGAAATATCTCATCTTAATAAGCCTACTGGGATTCAATATTACTTCACTGTACCTGAGTATCTTTTCTTGACTTTCTACCACTTTTGACTGCTTTTCCCTTTATTTCTTTATCCCTTGATATGCTAATATAAGGGGTGGTAACTTGGACCGCAGCAAAGTAAGGCATGCTTCTAAGTTTATATTATCTGTCTATACGGAAATAACTATGAATGAGGCTTGCTCTCTCTAGTGATTCTGTACAAAATTAGAAGCCTATTAGTCTGCATTAAAACGGATGTAATGGTTCGAATAAACTACATCTAAGGATTGTGCTATTCTCCAACACATCATGAAATTATATCATACAGAAAAAATCAACACAGGGACATTACAAAACAATCGAATTCTGTATGGTTTTGACATTACTGGACAAAATATACGAAAAACTGTTAAATGGAATAAGGATACTCTCGCTTATCCATTTAGCGCGATAATTCGAAGTTGTGTTAGAGAGGAGTGTGTTGGAGAAATTTGCTAATATTTTGAAGCTTATATACTCCAACACCTCCGGTAAAAATGGGGTGAGACGAAGCTACTTCACACCTCTATTTTTCACCAACTTTGTCATAGATGTTATTCTGGAGACAGCCCCGAGGGAAGTGCGCAGCAGTAATGTAGACCTGTTACCACCTGTGAAAAACCTTTCCAACTCGAGAATATGGACGATATCATTTCACTATGCGGCAACACACAGACTACATAAGTCATTTGGCTACCAGCGCCCCCAAGTATGGTGAGTGCTTCAAGCCATCCAAGTGCAAAGTGTTTCCATACGATCGGTAGGAGCCTTTGTCTGTACTCACCGTTGGCGGCGATCGTTAGAAAAAACGTTTTACACTTGAGTGTATGACTTCTAGTTCAGATGTGAACAGTCAGATTTCCAGCTGTATGTCAGAATTCGGAGCGGCATAAGCCAGTCTAGGTCACTTTTAGCGCAGTAGTGACGTCAACCTATCTGTAAAACGTCACACTTACAAGGCACCAATGAGAACAGTTGTGCTCTACGTCTGTGGAACCTGGCCGCTCCCATTTAACGATGGCCGATAACTCTGCTTGTTAGATCACCTTCATTTCCTTACGATTACTAGTATCCAGTGGAACCATGTACGTAATTTTTAGGTGAAATAGAATGTTTCAGGGTGACAACGTGGATCCTCATTTATTGAGTGAAGTCATGTTGAAACATCAGCAGGAGCCTCGAAATGTATCGAACCGGCAGATAAAATATAATCTGCTGCTCACTTGACTTAGGAGTGGTTGGAAGAAGTGGAAGTTGGTTAGTGTATGAGCAGGTGCCATAGTATGAAGTATAGTTGAGTTAACATCTGTTGGATGAAATCTTAGAGGCCACACAACACAGTGGCTTGAAACGATAGCAGACATGAGTCAAAATCGAAACAAGTGACGATCACGCTGTAGTCTCTTTGTTTGCCCAACTATCGAAAATCAAAACAA